CCTGTTTTTTTTTTTTTTTTGTTTTATTAAAAATGTCAAAAATTTACTCATGGTTATTGAATAAAAATATATAACACTATACTTGCAATAGTAAACTTAAAAAAAAATCACTTGACTTAAATATAATATGTTCATACATGAAAATAAATAAAATTGAGCATACAGCTTACAACGTTCAACAATTCTGAATGAATATTAAAATAAACTAAAAATAACCTAAATATTAAATTCGTTAATTTTGTAAATTTGTAATGTGCATTACAATGAAAATTGGCGCGTAAAATGATTACATCTGGTGACCGCCGGAGTAATCATGAGCGAGCGAGTTCTACGTCGGTATCAGTGTACCACCTTGTAAGAACATTTATTACCATGTTCTTACCACTTATATTACACACGTTTTATTTCTATTTATTTAATTCGTAATACATATTAATTAGCATAGAGGGAGATGCTGATATGACAATTCTACTCGTCTGTAGCCCGGAGCTACTGACGTCGAACTAACAAAGGGCAGTTGTGTTTGAGTGGCCGTTATAGACATAATTTTCAATATTATTACTTTCGTCTTATTTATATTATTTATAACTTTACTTGTTTTATTCAACGACCCGTCTATCGCCAATTGTCATCATAGCCAACCAACTCCGTCTCACTTGGATATACCTACTAACCAACTGTACTAGGATTCAGGTCAGACGTATTGTACATTACATATAACTTATATTTACTGAACATCTAAATATAACCTTACTTTGTCGTTGACATAAAACAATAGTCTAATTTTATTTAATAATCTATCCCCTGTAACTAAGGTACACGATTGCCTGTGTCTCCTTCAGGCAATTAAAACTCATTTAAGGAGATAGGGACGATATTTGAGCAGACGTCGGGTAGCTTCCGATTCTTGGTTTTGACCAAGATCCTCAACTATTAAACAAGCCCCTAACAACCTATTATTTATCAAGTTTGGTAAAGACATATTATCCACGATAAGTGATATAACAATCTTTTCTTATCGTCTTAGGTTCTTGCATAATATTGAATTTATTGTACTCCAAAAAAAAATGTTGTAATTGGATTAATTTCTAAAATGTATTAGTAATTAATGCTTAGTACTCTTTACTAACTTTTGAACTAGGGGACTTTGAATAATATTGGGGGGACTAAGTACCCCCAAGCCCCCCCTATTTGCGCCAATGCAGGTGCATCAGAGAAGAAACCTGACACAGGAGGAGTAGGGATTATAATCAATAAAACCCTAGGAAAAAAAGTTAAAGGCTATATACAATATGACGATAGAATCATTCTAGTCAAGCTCCAGACGAAACCAAAAGATACAATAGTAGTTCAAGTCTATATGCTGACATCAAATAGTAACGATGAAGAGGTAGAAGAAGTATACGAAAATATAGATAAAATAATCGAAAATGTTAAAGGGGAAGAGAATCTGGTAGTAATGGGTGATTGGAATGCCGTTGTAGGGGAAGAAAAAGTAAATAATGTAACAGGTGCCTTTGGGTTGGGAACGCGAAATGTAAGAGGAGAACGCTTATTAGAATTTTGTGCAAAACATAACTTAATAATCACAAACACTTGCTTCGATCATCATCGAAGAAGAAGATACACGTGGAAAATGCCAGGAGACTTAAATAGGTACCAAATAGATTACATCATGGTTAAAAACAGATTTAAAAATCAAGTAAAGGAAAGTAGAAGTTACCCAGGAGCGGATATAGATAGCGACCACAATCTAGTAATGATGAAATGTGAACTTAAATTTAAAAGAATAATGGATAAAAAGAAGAAAATAGTGCAATGGAAAATTAAAAATCTGAGAGATGAGAAAATAATCAAATATATAGTGAAGACACTAATGATATAATTATTGAAGAATCCCAAAATATTAAAGAAAGATGGCAGAACTTGAAAGATACAATTACAATGGCTGCAACGAAAACTCTAGGAAATAGCAACAATGCAGCAAGAAAGGAATGGATTACAAATAGTCAACATGATAGAGGAAAGAAGGAAATTTAAGAGTTTGAACAGTATAGATGATCAGGAAAAATACAGAAAACTGAGGAATCTAATCATTAAGAAAAATATTTGGAAGAAAAGTGTAATGAAATAGAAACCCTCATAAAGACAGGAAGTAGTGATGAAGCATATAGAATGGTGAAAATGTTTTTGGTCAACATAAGCACCGAACAGGGGGAATAGAAGATAACAACGGAAGAATGCTATATGAACAAAATAATATAGCGAAAAGATGGAAAGAATATCTAGAAATCCTGTACAAGGGGGAAACACTTAAGGAAAATGAAACCAACGAATCAAACGAAGAAGATAAATCTGAAGGAGATGACGAAATAGACCCAATTATGAGAGAAGAGTTCGACAAAGCTTTGCGGAATCTGAAAAATAAAAAAGCAACAGGAATCGATGGAATACAAGCGGAAATTTGGAAGGAGGCGGGAGAAAAAGTTAAAAGGGAATTATTTCAAATTATCAAAGTCATATACGAAACCAGTGAATTGCCTGAAGATTACGTAAATTATCCACATCCCAAAGAAAACAGCAACAAAGAAATGTGAAGAATACGGTACTATTAGTTTGCTATCCCATGCCTCTAAAATACTAACAAAGATTATATTCAAACGTATTGAAGGTAAAATAGAACAATCATTAACAAAAGACCAATTCGGGTTTAGAAGGAATATGGGAACGAGAGAAGCAATATTGGCGTTAAGGATAATCATTCAAAAAAGGATTAGGAAAGACAAACAAACATTTATAGCTTTTGTGGATATCGAAAAAGCACTTGATAACGTAAATTAGAAGGTAATGTTTAACATGATGAAAAGATTGGGGTTAAAATACACAGATAGGAAACTTCTGTATAAACTATACAAGGATGAATCTGCAGTTATAAGGATCCAAGATGAAGAGGAATAAGTAAAAATAAACAGAGGAGTTAGACAAGGTTGTACATTATCCCCAATTATATTCAACGCATATATTCAAGAAGCAATAAATATGATAAAGGAAAATGCCAATCTAGGGATAAAGATTAACGGACAAAAAATAAGTATATTACGTTTTGCCTATGACATAGTTTTAATTGCTGAATGCAAGAAAGATCTGGCTCAACTAATTAAAGATATGGATAAAACATTCGAAAAAGAGTTGGAAATGAGAATAAATGTGAAGAAAACAAAAGTAATGGTATGTGAAAGGGAAAATAATACAAGAATACAGATAAAAATACGAAACCAAGCAATAGAACAAGTAGATGAATTTACTTACTTGGGAAGCGCAATCAGCAAGGATGGAAGAAACAGAAGTGAAATTATAAAACGTATCTGTCAAGCTAAAATAGCCTTTAACAAAAAGAAAACTATATTTACATCAAGAAGCATGAGTCTAAAAATAAGAAAAAACTTATTAAAGACGTATGTATGGAGCATTGCTCTGTACGGGNTTAAAAATACTAAAATTAAACAATTTGATATTAAAACTAATGACTGATTATATTTTTTTACGGACCTGCCGAAAATGTATAATATGTAATAATTAAAGTTTAAACATAATATTAGTAGGTATGAAATAATATCGTTATTTGATTTTAATTTAATCTAATACATCATAACATTATAAAGTAGATTTAGGATTTAATCTAAAGAACTGATGTTACTGTTGTCTATGTAATTTTTAATTTTTTAACCCGTCGTTGCCAAATTTATGTTACGGATCACGATTGCTAAACTGTGAGCGCCGCGCTCCCACGTTACTTTTTCCTTTGTTATTAATTACTCGATCAACTCAAAACATTGAATCATACATAGAATTAAGTATCATTTTGCTCACTACCAATTGGTAAAATATTTTTTGTAAAATACCAGTATTTTTATTATTTATAGGACTGGTATTGTGAGTACCAGGCGCAGGTTCAGAAACGTCACTGTCCGATTCATTTTCAAAAAATTGGACGGGGTCAACACTTGGGTTGGCATAAGTCCTCTAAAAACTGTTCTCCAGTCTCCTCCAACAAAGATTAAACTTTATTGGCCATTATTTTGAAAAAAAAATAAACGTATAAGCAATTAAAATAATATGAAGTTGATAAACTGTGAACGCGACCCTCACTTTATCGGTACAGTCAACTTTGCACAAATCCCTTACCTTCTTCTTTAGTCACCACTATTACACATGAAACATCATCTAGTTTCTCACCTTTATCGACCAACGAATTTTTAGATAAAATACCATCCAGCTCTTCATCTTCGTCCCCAAGTAACAATATATCAGATTTAAATTTTTTTACTAAGCTTCTGATGTTACCAAACCCTACTGATAATGGCCGTTTTAGTTATCTAAATCAGCTGCCTGACGCAGCAAAAAAATTTATTGTTGAATATGGACATTTCTAACCTAAAGGACCATTCTATAGATATTCAGATAATCGTGTATCTAATTTATCGTTCAATGAGAAATATTATTATTCTGGTCATCAATGTCTGGTGGAAAGACAATTATACTATGGTTGAGTTATTCGATTATTCGTCAAGTTGCATGTTGCTAGCCATGTACTCTTTTCGGGAATAGATTAAAAAATAAACAAACCTCGTGGATTGACGGATTTGATGTTTGGAATCACATAACGATAACCGTCATGAAAGTTCTACATTTCATCTTGTGTCATGTAAAGCTTATAATATGTATCATAAAAATTTAAGTATAGATTGTCAAATAAAAAAGCAAGACGCTTCTGAATCTGAATATTGGACCGCGTTTTGATACGTATAATAGATATATCGATCACTTTAGATGACCAAAATTTGTCTTTCAGGGGCCATAGAGTAAATGTTAACTTCAAAAATAATGGAACACAAATCGAATGATTTAAATTTCTATTTGCTTCTGAGCTTAAATCTTATCGCAGCGTTTTTGATATGACTAAATTATTAATAATTGATAATAATAATTTAATTACTAGATTCCCAGATTTGTTAACAGCATTTTATTTGTTCCTTACATTAGCGGTTACTGTGGCAAGCGCAGAGAGGACATTCTCAAAACTTAAATTAATAAAGAATAATCTCAGGAGCACCATGTACCAAACACGGCTCAGTGCCCTTGCAATGATGTCAATTGAAAATGAGCATGCTAAAAAATTGAATTTGTTGTCATTAGTTAAGTTATTTTCTCAAGACCGTAGCAGAAAAAAAAGTTTTAAAGTATAAGTATATACATATTTGTAATTTTTTAATTCAATTTATAATTCAATAAGTTATTAATAAACTATACAGTATACATAATTTAATGTAATTCAATTACATAATTTTATACAAAATTTTAATGTGTATAAACTAAAATCCCTATGTCAGCTGAATTTGGTTACAGATATAATAGGACCTCCGAAAAATTGTATTCACGGGCCTCAGTAAACGTAGTTCCGCCACTGATAACAATGCTTTGTACCTGCTAATATCGATGTCATAAAAACCAATTGGGAATTTTTTCAGCCATTCGCCAAAATTACTCCTTCGTTGACTGTCCTATCATATATAGTTCCGCTTCTGAATGTTATTATCAATGGTAGAAAGGCACATTGTTGTGAGTTTATAAATACACTAACTGACAATACGGAAAGTATATTTATTGATAGCCATAAATGATAATAAACAATCCGTGACTGTGGCAGCAATGTCATAAAAATCTAATTAGCTATCTGTATTTGTAATCCTTTGTGTATTATACATACATATTAACTCAAAAATTTAAAACTTTAAGTGTTTATATCTAATAAACAAATAATGTTATACTTAAAATTCAAATGCCATTTACTATTGAATTAAAAATCCAAACATTTTATTAAATTCAAAATATGTGTTCCCATTTAAAAAAACAAAGTTGACACCCTTACAAGGTATAAGGGATGATCATAAAAAATTTTAAACAGTTAATAATTCAAGAATAATGTGTAACTAAAGAAACCCAAAAAAAAAATGTTTAAATTATTTATATTTTGCAAGTAATTGAGTGTGTTATGATAAAAAAATCAGTCTGTATATAGTACTGGTGCCATTTTTTAGTATTTTATTATATCTAATAAGTTAATTATATACACTGAGTGGAGAAATTAAAATTTATTTTATGCTACAATATTATTCTAAACTTCTAATATTGTTTTTATTACATTTCAATCGACTCTAATAAGTAATTCTAAACCTATTTAAACTATAGATTTTAATAAAATGTTGTATTTTTTTAACCTATTACAACTTTGGGTGCAATCTCGAAGGGTATAGAAGGGACTTAACTTTCCAAATTCTGTCATTATCATTAAAAAATAATGAAAATTACACATATTTGTATAATGAAATTATTTTTTAAGATTAGGAGAAATTAAATTAGACCTACCAAATATTTTGCTCAAATTGTTCCCGATAATGTATGTAAGTACAAATATAATTTTATATTAAAACTATTGAAACCTGTATACAATTTTTTTATGTTATGAGTGCAAGTTTCATATTCTAATTATTTTTTAATTAATTTAATTTGTTTAAAGATTTGGATTTCAAATACAAATTCATCGTTAATTTGGTTTTCACAATACTGAATGCATCAATATTCTTTTTCAATAGGCCATAAATTATTTTTGTGGTCGTTAACAAGATAATTTTCCACATCGGCCACTTAACAATATACAATAGTAAAATATTACGTTGAATATAATATTATGGGCCTATTAATAGACATGAATTATTAAATATAAAATTTCAAAGCGATTGATAATATCGAGTAGTACCTTTGACAATTAACGATCACTGTATGCTAAACAGCAAATATCAATAGAAAACTGGTGAAAACTCACTATTTTTAAACAACTAATAACAAAAGAATGGTTCATCGGATAAAAATAATGATAAAAACAAAATTGTTTTCAATTTTTTCTCTGTCATATAGTTAAACCAAAAATAGTAGTTTCCATTAAAGAAAATTAAAATTTAGGTATTTTATTCTTGAAGAGATGCAAAAAAAATATTAAACAACATAATAAAAAATTGTTGAAATAAAATAATAATTCCCTTATGTGACAGTATAAAATTTTCGAGTTCCCAAGAAAATTGTTAAGTATATTATCCTTAATATTCGGATATTAATATACGGATGCAATCCCGCGAATTGTGTCTCTTTATCAGCCGGCGCCCTACAACGTGAACAAAATAATTTGTCTGCAAACACCCCATATCATACGCCACTGTACAAAGTCTAGCAAATGGTTGACAATGACGACCCGCCGCAAATATATCACTGACTATATGAATATTTGTGGTATATTTGCTATCCAGAATGTTCAGTAAGTAAAGAAACAAGTCAATTGTTAAAAACAATGAGAACAATAGAAACCCGTTTCCTTACTCACTGAACACCTATACTGACTACATATAGTTTTTNCACCTATACTGACTACAAATAGTTTTTGAATACACGCTGAAGCAGTGGCACCGGAACCGGTGGGGGTAGCTGCCCCCTTGGTCTAAATTGAGGAGGGCAAAAATATCATTATGCTCCTCCAATAGAATCT